ATTCACTGTTCAAGTTCAACTGATATTTAGCTATATATAAATAACAGTAAATTGGGCTAATGTTTAAATGTGTCTCTAGCATGTTGCAATTAATTTTTGGCATGAGCTAAATATATGACTTATGACTCATCTTGACTCTTCCTAGTGCTCCGGGTTTGCTTGGCACACACTTGCAAGCTTCAGTTAGGGCATGCAACCTTCAGATGTTCAGTTACCTTGGCATTTAGATATACAACGTGTGCTAACAGAAGAGAATTACCATTATTTCCAGCTGCTTATCCTTTTTACGTCAAAAAAGATAGCCTAGGAATTATGTTAATATAGGCTTTATTTACTTATTTATTTATTTATATAGGCATTTCTTAATCATTGGTTGTTACTTATGTTTTATAACTCATCCTAAAACTTTCTTTATATCCAAAACTCATCCCCTACTCTAGATTCTAGCTGGTTTTGTGTCCAAAGCTTTTGTAGGAAACATTCCAGCCTGTTGTCTTTAACAAAAAGGCTGAACGTTTCCAACTTCATCTAAAGAAGAACACTAAAAATACATTAAGATATATTTGTAGAAAAATATGTGAACATTCATAGGGAAAGAGTAAGAATTAACCTTAGAGTCCATTATGTCTTTGTTCATTTCATGCAGTATAGACACACACATACAAAGAAAAAAAAATCAAACGATATCATGCCATTGCTCTTTATAATTTTCAAATGATTTTTATCCAATCAAGAAAGTCCCTATCAGTTCTCTTTTAAGACTTTCCAAGCTCTTCTTTCTATCTGGTATTAAGCATCTGGGCCTTTGCTGATAAAGACTGCTGCATTCCAGAGTCTCTCATCATATAGTACCTTATCATTTAGAATGTCTCCTGACACGTATTATCTCATTTGATCCTTGTCATGTGTTGGATAATTCTTTGATATAGACTACTTTTCTTATAGCTATTTTAAAATGCATTAGTTATAAGGTTTTTAATCACATATAAAGTATTATCTCCATAAAGCAGGACTACTTTAGTTTACCAAGTAGATGAGAAAAAAGTGAAATCCTAAAGCCAAAAGTGGCTTCTTTTTCAGTGTATGCACTTTGCTTTATGTTGAGCTTTAACCATACTTTCTGATACATAAATTATAATAAATAAAAATCAAATTTTCCTTTGCAAAAGCATGTTTTTTAATTCTATATTTTAAAATTTATACTTTTGAAGGCTTTTGATATTTGAAAATCTTCAGTTTGAGTATTACTGGCATTCATTGTAATTATATTTTCTACCTTCAGTGGTTGTTAACTCTCACTAATCAGGAGGGTATGCTAGTTCATAAATTCTTTATTTGCACATTGTGGTTACTGTAATAATAATGCTACCTTATATTTGTACACAGATTTTTTTTTTTCAGGGTGCTTTCATAGATATCTCATTTAAAGCTCACAGTCTCTTGAAGTAGGTAGGGCTACTATAAAAATTTCTGTTGAGGAAGGATGAAACTCAAGTATAGTCTCTTACCTCCTAATTCATGCTCTTTCCCATTATATTATGTAAGTTTTTTTATTTGTTTCATTCCCTGGTGTTTTGAAGAGTTTATTATTAGTTAGTTTATTAATTATATGCTACCCTGTTTAGTCATTACCTATGTGGATGAAAGGCACAGTTCTTGCCCTAAAAGGGCTCTTATAAAACAGAGAGAAAATGTTCTGTTATAACTATTCATAGGGCTATAATCAAGTAATAGTGTACACCTTCAAGGATTATGTGCTCTGATGCATGTAGGGTAGTTGCCACTTTTACATCCCTCCACTTTCAGTCCACGAGATTACAACAGGAACAGCCACGTGAAGGTGTGACCCTGCCCCTGGCTCCATTTGATGGACAAAGGGCGGATAACTGGCCTAAGCAGCGCCAGTGTGTGTCCTTTCCTGGAAATTTTAGAATTAAACTTGAGAAAGACAAGTTTCTCTTCAGGTCTCTGGAATATATAAAGTACAATGTTCAGGAGCTAACAGTGACTATTTTTCCATCATATGGACTAAACAAGTTTAAAAAAAAAGTTAATCTACAGAGAGAAGGAGAAGAATGAAGCAGATACACAGAGAGGAGAATAGACAGGATGCATGGAGAAGAGAGATGATACAGGGAGCAGACTCAAGACACTGGGAGAGGAGACAATGGAGAGAAAATCCTGATGGCATTTGAGTCCCTCATTGCAGTTCTTAAGGGTTACCTGCATTCTTTTGCTTTGATCCTTGAAACACCCCAGTACCTTTTGAGTAAGTTAGAATGAGTTGGGTTTCTGAATATATATTGCCAAAAGTATATGGAACATTGACCAAGATAGACCATATTCCGGACTATAAAACAATAAATCTGGTGTTTTAGATTTTAACCATCCTAATAGGTTAGTGGTCTCATTGTTGTTTTAATTTGCAGTACCATAGTGAAAATAACATTGAGCATCTTTTCATGTGCTCATTTGCCATCTGTATATCTTCATTGGTAAGGTGTCTGTTTAGTTCTTTTGCCCACCTTTTAGTTGAGTTGTTGTTGTTGTTGAGTTATAAGAGTTCTTTGTATATTTTTTATGCAAGTTCTTTATCAGATATGTGTTTGGAAATATTTTCTCCCAGCTTGTCTTTTCATTCTCTCACCCATGTTTCACAAAGCAGAAATTTAAAAATTTTTTTGCAGCCCAACTTTTCCAGTTTCTTCTTTCATGGATTGTGCATTTGGTGTTGTATCTAAAACTCCACCAAATTCATGGTCACCTAGATTTTTTCCCCATGTTATTTTCTGAAGTTTTGCATTTTACATTTTATGTCTGTGATCCACTTTGAGTTAATTTTTGTGAAAAGTGTAACGTCAATGTCTACAGTCATTTTCTGCATGTGGATGTCCAGTTATTCCAACACATTTGGTGAAAATACTATCCTTTTCTCCATTGAATTGCCTTTGCTCAGTTAACTATATTTAAGGGGGTCTATTTCTGGGAGCTCTGTTCTTTTTCACTGCTCTTTGTCTAGTCTTTCACCAATACCACACTGTTTTCATAGTACGTTTTGAAGTCAGGTGGTGTCCTCTGACTTTGTCATTTTTTAATATTATGTTGGCTATTTTGGGTCTTTTGTCTTTTCATCTAAACTTTAGAATCATTTTGTCTATATTCATAAAGTAACTTGCTGGCATTTCAATTGAGATTATGTTGTCTATTTTTGGTATTAGAGTAATAGTGGCCTCAAAGAACGAGTAAGAAGTGTTTCCTCTGCTTTATTTTTGGAACACATTATAGAGAGAGTATTTGTATAATTTCTTCTTGAAGTATTTGGTAGAATAAACTAGCATAACCATCTAGGTCTGGGGCCTTCTGTTTTGGAAGGTGATTATTTTTTGATGCAATTTCGTTAAAAGATACAGATTTATTCAGGTTATCTATTTCTTTTTAAAATCTACTTTTCTTTGTGTGAATTTTAATAGATTGTGTCTTTCAAGGAACTGGTCCATTGCATTTAAGTTATTGAGTGCTCCAACCAGGGTTTTCTATGTACTAGGTGGTGTGTGTTTTTAATTTTCCTCTTTTTCATGTTTTTTAATCAGTCCCAGTATTTAATTCACTTTAAATCTGCTCCACTAGAATATTTTCTGTTTCAGCAGTGCCTGGAACATAGCATATACTCAATAAGTATTGGCTCAATCACCTAATATCCTTGAATAGTTCTCAGCAGTTTATAATGCACTTTATTTTCTTTGTTCTCTATATAAATTAAGCTGGGGAAATAGCAGTATCCCAAGATTAAATTACTTGCCTTAGTGGGCTTAATTATTAAATGGGCACAGCTGGAACATTAACCTAGGTATTCTAACTCCTAATATTAGATCTTTCCTTCTGTACCTTATACCAGCCATGTTTTTCATATCCACTTTATCAGGGGCCCTGGGGAGAATAGGGAGTGACAGTTATTTAGATGCACAATTGCTCAGATATGTTTTTTGTTGTTGTTGGGTTTGTGTTTTTTTTCAGAAAAAATGTTCACATGATAAGAGGTTCTCAAAGATCTTCTTAACCGCTAAATGTTTATTCAGACTGATACCTGGCACCTGACTTGTACAGATTTTTTTCATGAATATTAGATGAAAAGTTAGTGAGTTTTTTTTAAGGGACTATATTTTTGTTATATACATTCTGTTGTCACTGCTTGCTTTTATTGATCTTTACTTTGGCAAAAGTGATTCCTGGCTATGACAAGCTATTTATGGCTGTCTTACTGAGGGAGTTAAAGCAAACAAATAATTTATATGCTAACCTACTGAGGATATTACTCATATTTTAAAGTAGTGCTTGATTAGAATAAATTTTAACTTTAAAACACATACATGATACAATAGCCACTAAAAACAATAGGGAAAAAATGGTCATCACATCTTTTTCTAATCTGCCTTTAAAAAACAAGTTTATGTAAAGTACCCAAGTCTGCTCTTCTTTTATAGTTTACAGAAAAGTTAAAGAGAAACCTCAGTAGTTATTCACTGCTGAAGGATCTAGCTGACATCTTTGGAAAATAATTTGAAAAGCCAGTGGATTGTATACATGCTGTGCATTAAGCCTTGAGCTCTCTTTTGCATTCTATAATTTATATGTTGTCCCAGCATGAGGTAATTTTCATGATTTTGCCTCTAAATTATGCATATTAAAGTGAAATGTACTGATATAATATAGGCATGACCTATAAAGATTTCTTCTTGCTGCTAGAATCTAACCTTTTAAAGATCTCTTTATTCTCTACACCACCCTTATCATAAACAAATGGCAGAGCTTGTCTATGTTAGAACTATATTAGTGTGTTAGATATACATATTACAGTAGATATTATAATAGGTTTTTTATAATAGGGTATTAAACTATTGATACTTTGAGTAATAAATATATTTATTAAGAGCTTGACCAAAAGCATAAGTTCAGAATCTTTAACATGGGTCTATTTTTTAGGCAAAGAAAATTTTGTCTGGTGGGTGTATAGCCTGACTTGTTTTTCTGGTGAAGAGTTAGTCCGGGATAGCTATAGTTTTGCCTTTTACAAATGGTCTGCACATGTTTGACAGGTTTCTCTAGCTTACTGATACAACCTCTCTAGCTGTGACACAGCAAATTTCCCCGCTGAGCTAAAGTGATCTGTCCAAGCCCAAACTCGTAAACTTGTTCATTAGCATACAAATGTATAGTTATTCTCAACCTTCCACCTCCCTTGGCATCAGGGACCAGGAACCTGTGGTAGACCATCTTGTGCTGCTCTAGGACAACTAACATACTGAAAACGGATCTTAGAAACTGCAGCTACCCAGTCTTCGAGATCCATCATCGGAGCCTAGAACAGAAAAAGAGGCAAATCCTAAGACTACGTTGTGCAAGAGCAGGAAGATAAAGTTTCTTCTCACATTTCTGAACCTTTCTTCTAAGTTTTCCTGCTTTACTGCTTTGTCTTTGTTCTTTCTGAGCACCTGAACTCACAGTTACTGTTACTGCACCAAAATTTTAAGAACCCCTCCTCCCAAAGAAGTAACCAGAAATGTTACCCATATCTTCCAGCATACGTTGGTTTATCATTTAGTTAGCCATATCAGTTACCCATGTTATCTAGCAAACACTAGTTAATTAGTTTATCCACAGTTGGGAGACCAGTACTAGTACTATCTGTTAATTATAATTAAAAGCATGGTTTCTGAAGGACCTAGATTCAAATCCCAACTTATATGCTTAATAATTTTGTGATCTTAGAGAATTTCATTTAATCTCCGAGCCTGAATTTCTTCATTTATAAATGTTCTAGAAGGGATTTAGTGATGGCATATAGTAAGTACTTAGCACTGTACTTGCATATGCTAGCCACTAAATAAATAGCAACTACTTTTATCATTACTGTTTAGTTGGATTCCCCTGTTAGCATGGGAGAGTCATTTATGCCATGCATAACCTCATATTAGAGTGAAGTTATAGGTTTGATATACTCATTTATTAGCAAAACATTTTATTATAATTCCCAGCATAGCCAAGGTACAGAAAAATAAGCACACAAATATGTTGATGGAGATAAAATTGCATAATACAACATTTTGGAAGAGCAATTAGGCAATTTGTATCAGTACCCATAAAAAATGCTCTTTGAGTCAGAAATTCCCTTTCTAGAAATCTTCTCTAAAGAAGGCGATTCAGACTAAAATTTGCAGCCACTAGCATTTAGTGGGAAGGATTTGGGCATGGGTGGTGGGGAGGGAAACTTGAATGTCCAACGACAGAGAATGGTTGAATAACATAGTATTTTCATATAATTCATACTCTGTAGCTATTATGAAATATTTGACAACATGGGAAACTGCTCACAATATTACTATTTAGTAAAAATAAATAAATAAAAGTATTATGTGAAATACTCAAATTTTGTACACTAAGAAATACATTCCTTTCTCTCTCCTTTTCTCTCCTTCCCCAGAAGCAAGACTAAAAGAATATACATTAAAATATCAAATGTATTTATTTCTGAGTAGTTGGATTTCATTTTTTGGTTTTATTTTTGAACACTTGAGTGTTTTCCAAACTGGATATACTAAGCAAGTTACTTAGCAAACCTCATATGAAAAGCATTGGAGGGAAGATTGGGTGTCTGGACACCTGTGTTTATTAGTAATGAGTTTATTGGAAAAAAGTTTTGAAAAACTGAAAGCTGCTCCTTGGATCCATAAATTGATCTAAACTGAAGTCTTGCCTCCTAAACTGAAGCAATTTAGTTGGTTTGAGCTAAGAGGTGGCCAAATGTGGGTCACAGGAGGAGTTGTTAAGATAGATTCTGGGTATTTGTGAATACATTGCTTTTGATGTAGCAAATAAATAAGAGCTTAAAGAGGGAGAGGTGGATTTTAATATGGAAGAGGAGAGGAAGCTTCTTGCAGAAACAAAACCAGAGTGAAATTTAATTAGACTTGCAAAGAAGATTGTTATGCAACGGGCTCAGATTGTTTAGATTTTATTTATTTTTCCAAAATATCTGTGATGACCACAGGGAAACCGATGTACATTTCCAGTGGAAGGTTCATGGAAGAATATTTTGTGACTGTAGAAACATACTTAAGAGTAATTGGCTTTTTCAGATAACTTATATTTTAAAGTAATTTTAAAATACCAAGAACAGAATTATCACTTTTTGCAACTTTTTTTTAATTAGGATCCAGTTTATGGAAAAGGAAAACTTGGAGAAATCCAGGGACTTATTCTGGGAATGTTGGATACCTTTAACTATGAACAAGTAAGCTATTTTCTATTTCTCAGCCTGTCCTAAGGTGGAAAGAAGCTATTTCTTTTTCTTTGCACTTATACTTTTTCTTTAAAAATTACCATCTATTTAGTGGAAGCGCAATAGATTAAAATGTGTGGTTTTTAATTTTTTTAAACTTCTCTTGACCTTAATTAATTAATATATATTTTATACACACACACATATTCTAGGGTTTGGAAATGCATCAAATTTGGATTCATTTTATTGTTTTGATTTATTGGCAGAGGAACAAATATCTTTCAAAATCAGAAATGTGAAAAACTTTCTGGAAAAGCAATTGAATACAAAGATACAACCTATGAAAAGGAAAGGTCAGCATAAGTATAAAAAATTACCAAATAAAATTAAAAGACTCTTCTTTTAAACATCCTAAAGTAGATAATTGCAACTCACCAAAAAATGGTCATTAGTTCTCCCTTAACTCAAAACTGCCTATAGCTTTAATTCTCAGTAGGAGCCAGCTTGGGGAACAGATTTTTTTCTTAATGTACTTCAAAGTAACTCGTGAAGCCACCTAGGAAAAGTGTCACTTGGGTATGGTAATTATGTTGTGTGCTTTTTTAATAATCAGAGAAGAAAAGGAAGCATTTGGGTGACAGCTTTCCTTAGGGTGTTGGAAGAACTGCAGTTCTGCTTAGTATAGCCCAGTGCAGCCGATACCCCTGCAGGCACAGAGTGCTTGTCAGCAGAAGGAGAGCTGAGTGCAAAGCAGAACATTTTTGTGAACTTTGGAAGAGAAGGAAAAGATGGGGTTGATTGGAAAGAATTACATTCTGCATTACAGATGAAGTTAAAGGACTGAGCTATGTAGCAAGGAGGATGGTCAGTAAATTTACAACTATACATCTAAATCCTATGATATATATGAATGTTGAGAATTAGATGTAGTGTGAGCACAATGCTTTATAAGCACATAGGACCTTAAAAATGACTGAATGTGATTGCTGTGAAAATGTCTTCATGTGACTCAATGACAGATGTCACAGTCTTGAGAAGATTCAGTTGACCTGTAAGTGCTGATCAGGAAAATATAATCTCTCTGCCCAAGGGAGGTGAAAACTGAATAATGGCCATTAGCTTTTCCAGTGAAAGGTTATTTGAAATATTGCCATGGATGCAGTTTCTATTTAAACAAAAAAAATCAGGGATATTTTCATTATTTGTTACAACACTTCAAGCCATTTAGAGAGAACTTATTTTATACATGTAAGAAATAAATTGATTTGGGCTTATCTAGTCATTCTAAAGCCATCAGTCCTGAATTAAGCCACAGAATGGCCAAGCACACATTTCTCAGTAGAAACTAGTAACAGCCTTTTAATAATTATTTTGAGACTCTTAATGTCTGAACTTGTCATTAACTGCACATTAAAGTTAACCACTTAATTTGGAGTTTTTTGATGTTTGTTTAATTTTATGCCTTTATAGTGTATTTTAATTTCGGTTGTTTGTGGTTGAAAACTTAACTGATATTTTCTATTCATCCCCTTTGTTTCGTTTTATAAACCTTTTTTATTGGTTTGTTTGTTTTGGTTTTGGTCTTTTCTAGACCCTGCTGGAAACAACTACTAGCCTTCTAAACCAAGATCTCCACTGGTCACTGTGTAACCTGAGAGCTTCTGTCACCAGAGGACTGAATCCCAAGCAGGACTACTGCTCTATATGTTTGCAGCAGTATAAGAGACGCCAAGAAATGGATGATGAAATTATCGTCTTTAGGTAAGAGAGAGAAGGAAATGTTACATGTATGGGGTGTGTGTGTGTACACGTACAGTATTTCCAGGCAGGAATACATGTGTATACACAGCCCCAGTCAGTCATTCTAGCAGTGAACAAAACAAGACAACGTTCCTGCTCTTATAGACCTTACATTTTGCATAGGAGTTGGGAGAAATGGGTGGTAGGGTGGTCAGACAATAAATAAATACAGAGTAATAAGAGCTATGAGGAAAAATAAAGCACAGGTAAGGGGATGGAAGGATGACATGTTCAGGGTGAGAGTGTTATTTTAAGACACCGTAATGAGGAAAAACATCTCTAAGGACATGACATTTGAGTAGAATGAGAGAGGTAGGCGTGAAGGTTCAGAATATATTTTAAGGGTAGAGCTAACTTGATGTATTAGATATGTAGTGTGAGTTGCCTGAGCAACTGGATGAACAGGGTACCATTATCTAAGGTGAGAAAGAACAGGTGTGAGGAACTGGAGAAATCAAGAGTTTTGTATGGGAGGTGTTAGGTTTGAGATGACTGGTAGGCACCCAAGTAGGGATGTCAGGTAGACAGTTTTTCTAGTTAGAAACCTGGAGACATGTTCTGGAAATACAAATTTAGAGACTGACAGCATATAAATGATATTTAAAACCACAGTGCAAAGAGAAAAAATCTAGTATAAAAATGATAGATTTGATCTCAGGAGCAAAGGCAACTCACCTGGCATATATGGATAGAGGCAATATAAGATAAACTGTAGCCAAACTTCTTGAGTTCAAATACTAACTTTCTACTTACTAGCTGAGAGACTTTGACAAGTAATTTAATCTCTTTACATCTTAGTTTTCTCATCTGTAAATTGAGATAATAATAGTACTACTTCCTAAGGTTTTGTGAAGATGAAATGAGATAATTCACATAAGACATTTGTGTCATGGTGATATATAGTAAGCACTATATAAATGTTAGTTACTATTATTGTAGATATAGGAAGATTGGTAGATTTGGTGGTAGGAAAGGGAAGTAATTCTTATCACACAGAGCCCATTCATTCAACAAATACCTGATGAGCACCTACTGTATGCCAGGTACTGCTTTAAGGAGATAGGGTGCAGTATGAATGAAACAAAGGATCTGCTCCCGTGGAGTTTACATTCCAGTGGTAAGGGCAGAAAAACAGGTAAAATGCCAGGTAGTAACTACTATGGAAAAAAACCCAAACGTGTTAAGTGAGATACAGAGTGTTTGGGGGAAAAGATATTTTATATAGAGTGGTCATGGAAAGCCTCATTGTTAAGGTGACTTATGAACAGACAATTTAAAAATTAATAGAAATGTAATTAATAATCACTGTAAATAAAATAAAACATGGGATAAAGGAACAAGAATGTTTGGAGCTACTAACTTATAAAGAATCATTAAGGATAGTATCACTATTTTAGTGACATTTGATCAGAGACCCGAAGGAAGTAGCCATGCAATGTCAGGGGGGAATGCTTCAGGCAGAGGATGAACAAGTGCAGAAGCCAGGAGGCAGGGGTGTGAATAAGTTAGTGCTGTCTGAACAGAGTAAAGGAAAGGGAAAATGATAAAAGTTGACTTCAGAGGAAGAGCAGAGGCCAAATCATGTAGGAACTGCGTCATTATGAAGAATTAAAATTTTATTCAGAGATGAGAAGCCATTGGGTGGTTTTGAAAATAGGATTGACATTATGTGACCTATGTCTTAAGGATGACTTTGTGTCGAGAATGGACTATAAAAAGGCAGGAGTGAAAGTAGAATGACCAGTTAGGATACTGCAGTAATCGAGTTGAGAGATAGCCCAGGGTAGTAATGATGAAGTAAAATGTGGTAGGATTTGGATATGTTCTGGAGGTAGAGCTGAGATTTGTTTCTAGATTGGATGTGAAATGTGAGAGAAAGAGAATGGTCAAGGATGACTCCAAAGTTTTTGGTCTGAGAAACTAGAAGAAGATAGTTGCCATTTATTGAGATGTGGAAGGTTAGATGAGAACGTAGAGTAGAGTGAAAATCAAGAGCTTTGGACATGTTAAAATTAAGTCCACTAACATCCAAAGTAGAATTCTTGAGGAGACAGATGTGTGGGACTTAGGGAAGAAGCCTGGGCTGAAGGTATGAATGGGGCAGTCATCAGCATGTAGGTGGTATCTGAAAGCTATGGAACTGGAAGGAATCACTAAAGGAGCAAGGGTAGCTATAGAAAAGAAAATAGAGGAGGAAGGCTATAGAAGAGAGAGGTTATACAGAGAAAGAGAAAGACTGTAAAGACTACAGAAGAGAAAAGGATTGACTTCTGAGGCTGTCCAGCATTCAGGTTGGAGAAATGAAGGGGAATCAGTGATGATCACAGAGTTACACTCAACATTATATCGGAGGCTCATTTGTGACCTTAATGTAATCAATAGGGAATTTCTTCATAGGAATCATGTAAGAATTTACTGTGGCACTGACATTTTTGTTAATGCTTAATCAAATCACAACTTTTACCTTGAATTTGATGAGGCAGATCACTATGCTATTATCAAGCTACTTATATAATTATGATTTTCCCCAATTGACTTTTTTTTCAAACTATCTAAAAGTATTTCATAGTTTGATAAATGAACAGAAGTTTAACTCATCCCCCAGGTGGTTTGTAGTCAGAGAACTGTGATTCTTTTCTTACTAACAGCTTAAGTATACAAATATGTGAGTCTGGATTTCAAAAAGAGAGGACAGCAACAAGTTTATTCCCTGTCTTGTTTCTTAACCTATACAACCATCAATGCATTTCAGCATGTCAGAAATCTTTATCACTTACAAACACTCCAACATAGTCTATGTTTATGAGTTTTATGATAATGAAAAGTATAAATTGGTTGCCTTCATTTTGCAGCTGTGGCCATTTGTATCACTCATTCTGTCTGCAAAACAAAGAGTGCACCATAGAAATTGAGGGGCAAACAAGATGGACATGCTACAAATGCAGCTCAAGTAACAAAGTAGGAAAATTAAGTGAAAATTCATCGGAAGTCACAAAGGGAAGGATAACTCCATCTCAGGTAAGACTTGTTTTCATGGCAAAATGGGGATGTTCCTTTCTTACAAATGTCATGTAGTCCTGGCCTCATTTTTTCAGGTCCTATAGGCTTCAACAAATTTCCCTGATGAGTATCTAGTGCATAACATCTATTCAGTCCTATTTAGAAGAAAAGAGCTTCTCCTCTTTGTCCAGCACTGAAAAACAGATTTGAGAGCAACAGAAGCCATTTTCTGTCCTTAAAAATCTTAAGATCTAGTTGAACAGAGAGATTACACCCATCAGCCTGCTTAAGATCCTTTGACAAAGTAAGAGGTCAACAAGTACAAATGCTACAGTGCTCAAGAGTATCTACCTATGTGCTCAAGCTTGCAAAGTTACCACTTTTTTTTTTTTTTCGCTTTTTACCTTTATTCTTTTTCTTTTTTAATCCTCACCAGAGGATATTTTTTCCATTACTTTTCAGAGAGAGAGGAAGGGAGAGAAAGAGAGAAACATCAATATGAGAGAGACACATCGGTTGCCTTCCACACACACCCCGACCCGGGGCCGGGANAGGGAGAGAAAGAGAGAAACATCAATATGAGAGAGACACATCGGTTGCCTTCCACACACACCCCGACCCGGGGCGGGGAATCGAGCCTGCAACCGAGGTATGTGCCCTTGGCCAGAATTGAACCTGGGACCCTTCAGTTCACAGGCCGATGCTCTAACCACTGAGCCAAACCAGCTAGGGTGAATTATCGCTTTTAAGTAGGACTAATGGACAACGTACATACACAGGTGCTCTGTGCGTGGTTTCCTCAACTGGGTAACTTTCTTCCAAGAACTTAATGTAATGGTGTTCGTGTGAGGAATTTTCATTGCCTTTGGAGTCTAATGGCCTAGATACAGTCTTATTCATTTTACATCTTTTTTTTTTCCTTCTTAAGCAGGCAGTGGAGCAGAGTTCAAATCCTACTGCTTAGTAGCTTTTCTGGGAGAACAGCACTTGGCAACATGAGGGGCTCAGTGTGGAGGAGGAGCAGTTACTAGGGCTGTGACTTGATCCCTGTGCTGTTCTCAGTTTACTTCCTTTTCAAAGTGAGAAGTGGGGTCACATTTCCTGTTTCCTGCTCTTTCCCATATGCCACCCTATCCCTGTAGTCAGCCTTAGCATCACATAGTGAAAAGTTGGACCTGTTGTTGGTTTTTTATCTTTGTTTCATCAGTTTTCAGTGTTGTATCAGACGCAGACCCAAGAAAAAAACCCTGACCTGGTTTCTCCCAGATAACAGCTCGGAATTTCTATACTCCAGTGGTAGGCATTCATTTATACATTCACCCGGTATATATGGAATAGTGTGCAAGACACTGTGCTAGGTGCTGGGGATACAATAGTAGACAAGACATTTCCCTTGTGCAGTTTATAACCAGTGACATTATAAACCAGTTTTGAGTAAGTGCTCAAGTTCTTCCTGACACCAATTCTGTCAATTCTCTGGACTGGGTATCCAACAATTCAATTCAATTTGGTCACTAACTACCAGATGTTAGCATCACACTCCCCATGGTTAAGAGTTCATTGCCATTAAACTGCCCTCACTACAGACACCAGTCGCAAAGGGGGTATCCAGGTTACCCACACTCCAGTCTGACTTGACAAACTCAGGGATCCCTGTGACACCCTACCTCCTGCTCAGGCTCAATAATTCATTAGAATGACTCCCAGAACTTAGAAAAATACTTTTCATTTACCTATTTATTATAAAGGATACAACTCAGAAATAGCCAAATGGAAGAAATGCATAGGGTGAGGTATGGAAGGAAAAGGGCACGTCTATACCCTCTCCCAGCATGCCGCCTTCTTAGTACATCAGTGTGTGTACCAGCTCAAAAGCTCTTTGAACTTCATTTAGGGGTTTTTATGGAGATTTCATTATGTTGTCATAATTGAGTAAATCACTGACCATTGGTGATTAACTCAGTCCCCCCCCCCCGGAGGTGGTGGGGTGGTGAAGGATGGGACAGGGTAGAACTTTGATCTTTCTGGTGACTAGCTGTCACTCTGAAGCTGTGTAGGGGTCTGCAGATACCATGATCTCATTAGCATACAAAAGGCACTCTTATTCCGCAGGAGATTCCAACAGTTTTAGGAACTGTGTGACAGGAACCAGGGACAAAAATCAACTTTTTTATTATATCACAAGTACTTACAGATTAGTATGCTATAAGAGCAGATAACCAATAGACCTAACGTAGACAGAAGATCATGGAAGGCTTCCTCAAAATGCTGTGTTAGCTGCCCCTGAAGAAAAAAAAGAAGCAAACTAGACAAGTTTAAGTGCAAGCGTAGGCAGAAGGAGGAGTATTACAGGCAGAGAGAACCAATATGTGGAACAAACATATCACATTTCTACTGTGAAGCAGAAAAGAACATGGAACTAGACACTGAGTGTGATTAGATCTGGAGAGCGAAAGAGTGTGGTATGAGATTCGGCTAATGAGATAAACAGGGACCACATTAATTATTTTTATGTTTGTGCTAAAGAAATAGGGAAGATATTGAAGGGTTTTGAGGAAGGAATGATATGATCTGATCAGAATAGGTGGGTTTTTTCCCCCCAAGTAGTATTTTTAAAAGAACACTGCAGAACTGAAAGGGAAGCAAGAATGGATATAGGGAGACCAAGAATATTGAAGTAATTTACAGGAGAGAAGTGAGTGGTAACTTGTTCTAGAATGGTAGAAACTGGGATGTAGAAAAGAGTACACATTTGAGATGTGTTTAAGATGAGCAAAAACATCAAAAAAGAGGGTTCATTGTTGGAGTTAGAGATGTCTGCAGGACATAAAGGTAAAGATGTTTAATATGGTTTCCAGATTGAAAAATTTGTTAACTGTATATCCAAAAAGCTTTCTTGTTCACATTTAGGGAAGGAAAGACAGGTCCTGTGATTTTTATCTTTCCAAGCTGAAACCAGATGCAGATGGGAACCTTTATTTATGCAGATACTTAAGGCATTACATCTTGGGGCACTTCAAGTTTTTTCCTCTTTCAGCTATATCCTATGCATAAACAACTTGTGATTACATGCATATTCTGGCCTAGATATTACCATTTAGATTTTTTTCCTAGATAGTCCTGAGAGGCTAAAAGACTTTTTTCCCTTTCTTAAAAAATACAATTACATATTATATATGTAATTATGTATATACATAATTTATGAAGAGTAAAATTCATCTACTGCTAGTTTTGACAACTACTTTTATAATCAAGATAAAGAGCAGTGTGATTACTCCTCCTTAGAAGACCCTATATCTCTTTGTAGTAAACATCTCCTCACACCCTCAACCCCTCACAACCACTGATCCATTTGGAGTTAATTTTTAATAGGGTGTAAGATAAGGATTGTGGTTCATTCTTTTGCATGTGGATACACATCGAATTGCCCTTGTACCTTAGTCAAAAATCAATTGACTATGAATGTGTGTGCCTGTTTCTAGACTTTCTGTTCTATTCCACTGCTCTATGCTGCTATCCTTTCTCCAGTACTGTAGCTTTATAGTAAATCTGGATATCAGGTAGTGTGAATATTCTAACTTTGTTCTTCTTTCTGACATTTGACTATCCTACTTCCTTTGGTTTTCCATATAAGTTTTAAAATCAGAGATTTGTCAATTTCTACAAAAAAATCATGCTGGGATTTATTAAAATTGTATTGAATATATAGATCATTTTGGGGAGAGTTGATATTTTAGTAATATTGAGTCTTCTAATTCATTAACATATTTCCCAATTTATTTAGCTCTCTGATTTATTTAATCAGTGTTTTGTACTTTTGTTATATAAATCTATATATGTCTTATAAGATTTGTTTCTCAGTGTTTAATGACTTTGATGCTGTTGTATATACTACTGTTTTATATTTCAATTTTGAATTGTTCATTGCTGGAATATAGAAATGCAATATATTTTTGTATATTGACCTTGTATTCAATAACAAGTGCCTTACAAAGTTTACTTATTAGTACTAGTACTTTTTGTAATTCTTTGGTATTTTTTACATATGCAAGTAATGACTCTTATTTCTACTTTTCCAATCTTATGCCTTTTATTTCTTCTTCTTCCATTCTTGCACTGGCCTCTAGTACAATGTTGAATAGGAATGGCAAGAATAGACATCCTTGCCTTGTTTCTTATCTGGGGAAAGTGTTCAAATTTTTTATCACTAAGTATAATGTTAACTGTAGGTTTTTTGTGTGTAACCTTTATATCATGTTTAGGAAGTTCCCTTTTATTCTATGTTTTGCTGAGAATTTTTTTATGAATTGGTGTTAAATTTTGAAGTCATTTGTACTACATTGGTTGCTCTGTTCCCACATCCCCATACCTCATACAGTGAAGAAAGACTACTTCATTGTCTATTTCATTATAATCTATTTCATTGCCTTTTCTCCTGCCTTCTCTCAGAAAATCTAGAAAAGGGAAATTATTTTGAAGTTGTATCTACATGTCAAAGGCAGCTTTATTTCTGAGGCCAGCCCATTCTCCAGGGTAGGAGAGATGATTCAACCTTTTTATTCTTTAGGAAACTCCAATAAGATTACTGATTAGATCCTCTTGAAAATATCTGTCTGATGCCTCCTAATAATGAAGCAAGCTAGAATAAGACCTATTTGGGATTTCTTAAATTTTCCTCTAGTTGGCTATCTCGCTTGTTTTTCTTACTAAGATATTGTAAAAAGACCTAGTAGGTTGGTAATACGAGAAGGAAAGAGGAAATGAAATTTACCAAATATATGCTTGAAATGTGTTTATGCTAATATTCACAACTTTTGAAGGTCATATAATCCCTATTTTACAGTGGGAGGAACTGTATGTAGCTCAGAGAGGGAGGACCAATATTTGAACTCAAGTTTGTAGGGCCATCTTTACCCCCCCTTTTCCTGCCTCTGGCCTGTTCCATTTTTAGCATTCTATTTATTGAAACAGGGTAAATTTGGTTTTTAAAATACATCCATACCATATTGGCTGTGCTA